TTCCAAATGGTCAGTCCACCCCTGGTCCGCCCCTGTAACGGTTCATTAACATTCTCTAGTCAATCAGCATTTCCTGCAGACAGACCGTGCAGAGTCCTGACAGTAATGACCGTGCGGAAGTCCTGACAGTAATGCAGACCGTGCGGAGTCCTGACAGTAATGAGGTCGTGCAGAGTCCTGACAGTAATGAGACCGTGCAGAGTCCTGACAGTAATGAGGCCGTGCAGAGTCCTGACCTGACAGTAATGAGGCCGTCCTGACAGTAATGAGGCCGTGCAGAGTCCTGACAGTAATGAGGCCGTGCAGAGTCCTGACAGTAATGAGGCCGTGCAGAGTCCTGACAGTAATGAGGCCGTGCAGAGTCCTGACAGTTAGGCTGGCCATACACGCTTATGTTTTTTTTTACATTCAGCCTACGAGTGGAATGAAAGAAATCGCAAACATTCCTCCATCCATGTTGTACAGTGCAGATGGATGAATATCCATCGGTCAAAATACCAGAACATCTGATTGGACACCATTTGACCATTTTCAGCCTAGCTTCTTTGGTTTTTCAGTCAAATAATCTTTAGCAGGAGGGGGCCAATAAGAACACCCACAGAGCAATTTTGGTCGATTCATAAACTCGCATAGCATATGACCAGAAGAATGCTAAAAAAATCACCAGTAATACCTACCTAATATGTGTATTTCCTATGATCGTTAGCATCATCTAGTGGCCATCATGTGGTATTTTCCTGACTGCATTGTTTTAGGAAACTACTGCAGTATGGCCACTAGATGGAGCTGATGATTATAGGAAACACAGAAATTAAGGGGATCATTTGAAAATGTTGAGGCATTTGCAAATTTTTTCTAAATAGATCCTACTGCTTCTTCCAAAAAGGTTAAAACCGTATTGATTAACTAGGAATCAGTCCAGTCCATCCACAACCCTCACAAATGCGTTTCACACCCTAAGGCTGGCCATACATTATGCAATTTTATTTCCTTGAACCACTGGTTGAAGAAAAGAAAATCTCTTGATTCCCTCATCAACACAGTCAGTCTCCATGCACACGGGGCGTTTTAATAACGCTTGTAAAGTTAGCTGTGTAAAATGATGTTAACGTGCGTTTTTCAGTGTTTTTTAGCATTTTCGCATTAGCATTTGGCAGCATTTTGCTGTGGTTTTTTTTTTGTGTTTTTTCGCAATTGTGTTTTTTAGTGCTTTTTAGCTCTTTTTTTACCATAACAAAAATTTTTTTTGCTCCAAAAAAGTCCAAAAACGCCGGTTTGCTGCAATTTACCGCGTTTTGCTGCGTTTTTCAGCGTTCAGCATTTTTACAGCGAAAAAACTCCTATAGAAACCCACTAGTCCTGGGTTTTTTTTTCCAGCCAAAAAACGCCCCCTGCCAAAAAAAACGCTGATTACAGTCTGTGTGTGCATGGACACATAGGATAACATGCTGGGGGGTTTACTGGCTGTAGAAAAAAACGTCAAAAGCCAAAACAGCCGCTGTAAAAACGTCCCGTGTGCATGAGGACTCAGTGTTGATGGGGGAATCCCTCCTGCTGTGCTCTTGTATTCTGACACTGGAAGGTTTCCCTGCCATCAGAATACAATGATCACTGCTGCCGGCTATAGCCAGCGGCAGTGATCTTATAAAAAAAAAAAAAAAACCGATGGGCTGGTTTCACTGAAGTCGATCGATAGCTGAACTTCAGTGCAAACCAGCCTGCTCATAGATGGATTAAAATTTGTCCAGTTCCTGCATCTCCTCGACTGCATTGGAGACCAGGGGAGAGATTTGGGGTCTAATAGACCCCTGATCTCTCCATAAAGAGAACCTGTCATGGCCCATGCTTTCACAAGAAATGATCATTGCTTGGGAAAGCAATATAGTTGATCAAAAATAAATAAATAGTGTAAAAAAAAAGGTTTCAAATAAAATTAATAAAAAAAAAAAAATTGAAAGCACCCCCTCCCCCCTGTGCTTACACGCAAACGCATACTTAAGTCCCGCACACATATGTAAACGACGATCGCACCACACTTGTGAGGTATCATTGCGAACGTCAAAGTGACAGCAATCATTTCATCTCCAGACCTTCTGTGTGACTCTAAACTGGTAACCTGGAAAAGCTTTTAAAGCATCACCTATGGAGATTTGTAGGTAGCATAGATTTTGGAGGTATGTTAGGTATCTATTTACTCGGTCTAACATCATCTTTTATATTTTCACAAAAAAATATTGGGTATTATGTAGCGTTTGTGTGAAATAAAATTCATTTAAGTGTATTAAAAAAAAAAATACCCCCTGCGCAAATACCATGTGACATAAAAAATTGCAGCACCCACCATTTTATTCTTTAGGACCTCTACGGAAATGAGAGGACATCGCTTCTTAGATGGGTTCAAGTGAATGGGGCTGCACTGCAACTGCGTGCAATGCACAAGGTTGCAGTGCGATGGGTTGGCATTTTTAGGGTTAAAAAAGGCAGTGAGAAGGTGACATATCGCTTTTCAGAGGGGCAGCAAGGACTGCCGCATCTACAAATGAGCCCTAAGGCTTGGCTCTCACTTGTGCAGATGGAAGGCACTGCAGGATCCTCACTTCAGGAACCGCGGGTGCCATTTCTGCCCGCACTGGAAAATCGCACCTGCACTGGGAATCACACTGTAATCTGTTCTTGTGCAGGCGGAAATTTCTGGAAAAGTGCACGACCTCCCACGACCTCCTGCTCTCTAGCTCCCTTGTCTCCTCCTCCCATGCTCGTCTCCAGGACTTCTGCAGAGCCTCCCCCATCCTTTGGAACTCTCTACCCCAATCTATCAGACTATCGTCTACTCTGCCCACTTTTTAGGCGATCTCTGAAAACCTATCTCATCAGGGAAACCTATCCTGCCCTCAGCTAATAACGGAATCTTCTATTTTTCCTACCAGTCCATCCCTCACAGTTATTACCTTTTGTACCACTAGCCCCTCCCTCTTAGATTGTAAGCTCCCAGGATCAGGCCCTCCTAACCCTCTTGTATTGAACTGTATTGTTGCTGTATTGTCTCCCGTTATATTGTAAAGCGCTGAGCAAACTGTTGGCGCTGTATAAATCCTGTATAATAATAATAATAATAACTGACCACGCTGTACTCTCATGCTTAGTGTGGTCAGTTTTCAATAGGAAAGCAGAGGGATCGGCAGGAACACCAGGGATTTCACACAAAGGAAGCAATATATAAATCCTGTATTATAATAATAATAATAATTTTGTAAGATTTTACTAAAAGCCAAAGGAGTGGCCTTTCATGGTATCTACAAAACAGAAGCAAGTGAGGATCTGCAAAAAAAAAAAAAAAAAAATCCTTGCAATGAATGTAGCCGACCTGGAGGGGATACATTCTTTTTTTTCTTTTTCTCAGTAACATAAGAACTCTGGAGCTTCATTGGAATTCCATTTTCAGGTCCGACAATAAAATGAAGTCACTTCCAGCCATGCAGGATGTGGCGGGAGACGGATGACAAGTAATGGATTGAACAAGCTTTGAGGTCAGTTTCTTGCAGGAAGCGAGGAAGAGGTGGGATCCTTGATAAGAGAACGCCATATTCCCACACAATACTTTATTAGAAGTCTTTGTCTGGTCACCAGCAATCAACAGTGTCCGAATCTGCCAGTCTGGGGAAGTCCGGCTTGAACCGCGGCTGCCGGGTTATGACAAGGAACCTAAGAGCCTTATCAGAGCAATGTGGTCAGCAAATCCAGCATTCGTCCCCATTATAAATCAGTGCTAGGCTTTCCTAGAGTCCCATGCAGGGGCGGACTGACAACTCATGGGGCCCCCCGGGCAATAGGGGATCATGGGGCCCCTGTGTCCTTGCCCAAACTCAAAAAAGCCTATGAAAAAAGGTACCAGGGGCATCTCATGGGGCCCCCTACTGACCCCGGGCCCTCGGGCAGTGCCCGAGTTTCCAAATGGTCAGTCCGCCCCTGGTCCCATGTTCCTAGCTGACAGACCACAGATCTGATCTTGGCCTTCTTTGTTGTGTCTCCATATCTCCCGGCTGTTCTGGCCATTTATTCTCACACATCATTAACCACTTGCCCTCCAGAGGATTTACCCCCCTTCCTGACCAGGCCATTTTTTGCGTTACGGCACTGCGTTACTTTAACAATTGCGCGGTCATGCAACGCTGCACCCCAAATTAAATTTACGTCCTTTTTTACCACAAATAGAGCTTTCTTTTGGTGGTATTTGATCGCCTGTGCGGTTTTTTATTTTTTTGCACTATAAACGAAAAAACACCAACAATTTTGCAAAAAAAACCTATATTTTTGTCTTTTTGTTATTAACCACTTCCTGTCCGGACACTTTTACCCCCTTCCTGACCAGGGCAATTTTCAGCTTTCAGCGCTATCACACTTTGAATGACAATTGCGCGGTCATGCAACACTGTACCCATATGAATTTTTTTACCATTTTTTTTGAAACAGATAAAGCTTTATTTTTGTGTTATTTATTCACCGCTGGGATTTAATTTTTTTTGCTATGTAAATGAAAAAGTCCAAAAATTTTGAAAAAAAGTGTTTTTCTTATAAAATTTTGCAAATAAATTATCTTTCATCATAAATCTTGGCCAAAATTTATTCCGTTATCTTTTTAGTAAAAAAATAAATAAAATAAGCCAAATTAGTTTATAACCAAAAATTATAATTTTTTAAAAAAATTTTACATTTTTATTTAATTTTTTATATTATTATTTATGTTTTGTTTGTTTTTTTTTACATACTGTCACCCTAGCAGTACAGTGTCACCATGGTGACACTGTACTACTTGGGGGTGATGAAGATTTTTTTTTTTTTTTTTTTTTTTACACTGATTGCTATTACACCCATATAGGATGTAAAAGCAATCATTTCTCTTTCTCTCTGTCTGCATTCTTGCAGCCACTGAGAACTACTGAGTGAGCTGTGATTGGTCACAGCTTGTCACATGGTGCAATGCTGTTGTGAATAGCCTTGTACCATGTGACCTCTGTGATCATTCACAGATTTCATACGTAGTAAGCAATGATGTCAGAAGTGACGTCTTGCTTACTACTCTGCATGTGATCACTAATTGGCCAATCAGTGATCACATGATCGGGACCTCGTACAGAGTTCCCGTCCAATGATCGGTGTTTCACTATATCCGAGAGGACACAGCGGGCACCGGATCGCGGTGCTGGGCACTTCCAGGGAGCGCGCAAAAGCAGTGTGCAGGCAGGCCATTTATAAACGGCCACCTGACTCTGCACTGCCACCGTCTGGCCATATATATTTATATACAACGGCCGGACAGGAGGTGGTTAAACATGTCCAGTAAAAAAATTTTTTAAAAAATCAGATTTCGTCATAAATTTAGGCCAAAATGTATTCTGCAACATGTCTTTGCTAAAAAATAAAAATCCCAATATGTGTAAATTAATTGGTGTCTATGTCAGAGGTATGGCTTTTTGGCTGCAATTCTTCCATGAGGACCACTTCTGGCCAGACATCTCTGGACAGTAGATGGGTGTACCTGGGTTCCACTGGTTTCTGCCAGTTCTGTGCTGATGGCACGACTGGACTTCTTCCAATGTGGAAGGGAAGTAAGCATGATGTGCCTTTCATCTGCTGCATTAAGTTTCCTGCCAACCGCTGTGTCTACGGTTCTCACCATTGTCTGTTTCTTTGTGATTCTTCAAAAGAGCTTGCACAGCACATCTTGAAATCCCAGTCTGCTTTGAAATCTTTGCCTGGGAGATACCTTGCTGATGCAGAATAACTACCTTGTGTGCCCAGTCTTGCCATGGTGCATGACCCTGTGACATGAAAGTGCCTTCCATAACCTCACCTTATTAGCAGAGTTTGTCTGTTCCTCACCCAGTTTTAAGCCTCCTACACAGCTGTTTCTGTTTCAGCTAATGACTGTGTTTCAACCAAAATATGAAATGATGATCATTAGCAACTACTTGGTTTAATGGGACATCACCCAAGATTTGACAGTACATTGCTCCATACATCATCCGTTTGATGCGGTGCAGTTGTCCTCTCCCCTTAGCAGAAAAACACCCCCAAAGCAGAATGTTTCCACCACCATGTTTGACAGTTGAGATGGTGTTCTTGGGGTCATAGGCAGCATTCCTCCTCCAAACACAGCGAGTTGAGTTGATGCAATGAGCTCGATTTTGGTCTCATCTGACCACTGCACTTTCAACCAGTCCTCCTCTGCATCATTCAGATGTTCAGGGCCTGGACATGTGCTTTCTTGAGCAGAAGGACCTTGCGGGCACTGCAGGATTTCAATCCTTGTCGGCGTAGTGTGTTACCAATTGTTTTCTTGGTGACTGTGGTCCCAGCTGCCTGGAGATCATTGACAAGATCCTCACGTGTAGTTCTGGGATGATTCCTCACTGTTCTCATGATCATTGACACTCCACGAGGTGAGATCTTGTATGGTGCACCAGACATAGGGACACTGACAGTTGTTTTGTGTTTCTTCCAATTGCGAATGACCTGTTGTCACCTTCTCACCAAGCTGCTTGGCGATAGTTTGGTAGCCCAGTCCAGCCTTGTGTAGGTCTACAATCTTGTCCTGACATCCTTGGACAGCTCTTTGGTCTTTGCCATGGTGGAGAGTTTGGAATCTGATTGTTGAATTGCTCCTGTGGACAGGTGTCTTTTATACAGGTAACAAAATGAGATTAGCAGCACTCCCTTTAAGAGACTGCTTCTAATAATCTCAGCTTGTTACTTGTATGAAAGACACCTGGTAGCCAGAAATCCTGCTGAATGATAGGGGATCAAATACTTATTTCCCTCATGAACATGCAAATCAGTGTATCATTTGTTAGACATGCATTTCTTTTGAATTTTTTGTTGCTATTCTGTCTCTCAGTGTTACAATACACCTACCATTCGATTTTTAAACTGATCATTTCTTTGTGAGAGGGCAAACATTCAACATCAGCAGGGAGCAAATACACATTTCCTTCACTGTATATATACAGTATCTCCCAGAAGTGAGTACACCCCTCACATTTTTGTAAATATTTTATTCTCTCTTTTCATCAGACAGCACTGAAGAAATGACACTTTGCCAACCATTGCCATTTACCATTTGTTAACACATACTAACATTGGACCTCTCTAGGGAAGTGATCAGGATTTTTCTTTTTACACATTATGATTGCTGATACCAGGGGCAGACTGACAACTCATGGGGTCCCCCGGGCAATAGGGGATCATGGGGCCCCTGTGTCCTTGCCCAAACTTAAAAAAGCCTATTTAAAAAGGTACCAGGGGCATCTCATGGGGCCCCCTACTGACCCCGGGCCCTCGGGCAGTGGCAGAGTTTCCAAATGGTCAGTCCACCCCTGGCTGATACCAAAATTGATTCATTCAGCCCTGGTTCACACTAATGCGGTGTGTTTCCTGTGTGTTTCCCGCACTGCATTGCAATCGCACGCATCCATGCAATCTGGTATGGGTGTCAATGTTAACGACACCCCGAAACAGATCGCAATTACCAGAATTTGCACCCATGCGATGCAAATCAAGTAAGGGAAAAAAGGGGTATGCACCTTTTTTGGTATGGATGTGATGCAATTTGAGCGATACCAAATGTATGGCTCAAATCGCAGCACACAAACATTGCATCTGATTTGCACAGGAACGCGGTGCGGTTCACATGCAATGTGTAGCACCACATTAGTGTGAACCAGGGCTCAGTGTCTTTTGCTGTGATTAGCTGTGATTGGCCAAAGCTAATCACATGGTACAGATGGGTGTGAATGGCCCTGGCTGTACCATGTGATCGCTGTGACCAATCACAGCTAACAAAACAATTGTATGCAATGGATGGCATGAAAGGAAGCCATCCATTGTTTAAAATGGTCATGTGATATGCTGTGATTGGTCACAGCAGATCACATGACATTGGCAGCGGGCCGGTGCAGAGATGAGTCATCGGCTGTCTCCGGTGGACACATCCAGTTAGATAGATAGATCTATATATATATCTATCAATCTCTATCTATCTATCTATCTATCTATCTATCTATCTATCTATCTATCTATCTATCTATCTATCTTATCTATCTATCTATCTATCTATCTATCTATCTATCTATCTATCTATCTATCTATCTATCTATCTATCTATCTCTATCTATCGATCATCTATCGATCAATCGATATCATGGGCAGCGCAGTGGCTAAATGGTTAGCACTTCCACCTGGCAGTACTAGGGTCATTGGTTCAAATCCCAACCATGGCACCACCTGCCTGGAGTTTGCATGTTCTCCCTGTGCCTGTGTGGGTTTCCTCCCACACTCCAAAGACATGCTGGTAGGTTAATTGGCTCCTGTCTAAATTGGCCCTAGAATGTGTATGTATGAATGTGAGTTAGGGACTTTAGTTTGTACACCCCTTGAGGGATAGGCTTACCATACATGGGTCAAAAACTGACCGAATAATCGGCTGATTTTCGCTCTGTTAGTGGGTCAATGGCACTGGCCAATTTTTTGTGGTTCCTCCCCTTTTCGGTGATCGGTCATGTTGGAACATTCGGGAAAAACGACTGATTTTTGACTCAATGATGGTCAAATCGTACGATCGTTTTTTCGAAAAGAAAGTGCGCATGTGCCGTGACCTGGAAGGAGCAGAAATTGTGCCTGTTATATAGTGTGAACTTTATGACTCGGTTGGCCGATTTTCAAAATCAATGATGGCGCCGTCGGATTACCGAACGAACGTTTCCGATTTTTGGACAAAAAATCGTTCGGAATTCGAACCATGTATGGCCTGCATTATGGACTGATGGGAATGTACAATATATATGTAAAGCGCTGCATAAATTGACTGCTCTATATAAGTACCTCAGATAAATAATGTCAGTTATTGTAGTCTGTGAGATAAATAAACCTCAATTATTGGTGTCAGTGGGAGTGGACTACTTCCCAATTGTAGGTGTCAGTGGGAATAAAATGAACCCCATCCCAGCATTGGCGTTCAGCCGTTAACTTACCTGCTCACACGCTCCTGCCTCTGCACTTTGCAATGACTGTAACTTTGCTGGTCTGAACTGATGTCACCAGTCTGCTGCAGGCAGGAGGAAGCATTTCCTCAGTCTCCTCTCCCCCAATGATCGTTAACTTACCTGCTCACACGCTCCTGCCTCTGCACTTTGCAATGACTGTAACTTTTCTGGTCTGAACTGATGTCACCAGTCTGCTGCAGGCAGGAGGAAGCATTTCCTCAGTCTCCTCTCCCCCAATGATCGTTAACTTACCTGCTCACACGCTCCTGCATCTGCACTTTGCAATGACTGTAACTTTGCTGGTCTGAACTGATGTCACCAGTCTGCTACAGGTAGGAGGAAGCATTTCCTCAGTCTCCTCTCCCCCCCAATGATCATTAACTTACCTGCTCACACACTCCTGCGTCTGCACTTTGCAATGACTGTAACTTTGCTGGTCTGAACTGATGTCACCAGTCTGCTACAGGCAGGATGAAGCATTTCCTCAGTCTCCTCTCCCCCAATGATCGTTAACTTACCTGTTCACACGCTCCTGCATCTGCACTTTGCAATGACTGTAACTTTGTTGGTCTGAACTGATGTCACCAGTCTGCTGCAGGCAGGAGGAAGCATTTCCTCAGTCTCCTCTCCCCCAATGATCGTTAACTTACCTGCTCACACGCTCCTGCATCTGCACTTTGCAATGACTGTAACTTTGTTGGTCTGAACTGATGTCACCAGTCTGCTGCAGGCAGGAGGAAGCATTTCCTCAGTCTCCTCTCCCCCAATGATCGGACTGTAACACTAGGTATAATAAGGCTTTTATAAATGTATCATGCAGGAGCTGGCTGGTTCCAGGCTGGCAGCTGCCCCTTCCGCTCGTGGTTCCCTGCAGCATCCCAGAGAAGGCTGGCATCCCATTACACCCCGCGCCATACAATACCGCTCCTCCAGTTACCACTGAGCTCTTCTCTAAATTATTCATCCAAACTCTTTGAAAAGATCTCTTCCTTTTCAGCTGTGTTTCCCATCTGACAGCGGCGGCTCGTTAGCCTGCGTGGTTGTCTCAGCACCGTCTAATGGTGTGTTTAGGCAGCCGGAGCACGTCTGCGGAGAGACACCCGATAAAGGGCACCTGTCACTATCCCAGCCACAGGTGCAGAATACACAAAGCATTTCTTCTCATTACAGGGAAAATTGCCCCGAGCACCATCTGTGTCTACAATCACAGCAGAATGACAAATCAGACAAATCAACGGACTCAACACTAATTCCTCTCTCCTCAATAGATGCCTGAAAGTTGCTTTCTCCTTGTGTTCGGCACTTTGGGAATGGAAACAGCAGGTGTAAGCAACCTCGCCACTTCAGATGTACTGAAACTACAAATCCCATCATGCCTCTGCCTCTGGGAGTCATGCCTGTGGCTGTCAGTCTTGCATTGCCTCATGGGACTTGTAGTTCCACAACAGACAGGTTCTCACCATTGTCTGTTTCTTTGTGATTCTTCAAAAGAGCTTGCACAGCACATCTTGAAATCCCAGTCTGCTTAGAAATCTTTGCCTGGGAGACACCTTGCTGATGCAGAATAACTACCTTGTGTGCCCAGTCTTGCCATGGTGACATGAAATTGCCTTCCACAACCTCACCTTATTAGCAGAGTTTGGCTGTTCCTTGCCCAATTTGTAAGCCTCCTACACAGTTGTTTCTGTTTCAGCAGGTGTAAGCAACCTTGCCACTTCAGATGCAGTGGAACTACAAATCCCATCATGCCTCTACCTCTGGGAGTCATGCCTGTGGCTGTCAGTCTTGCATTGCCTCATAGGACTTGTAATTCCACAACAGTTACAATGCCAAGTTTAGCTTCCCCCGGGGGCGGGCTGACAACTCATGGGGCCCCTGGGAAATAGGGGATCATGGGGCCCCTTTGTCCTTACCCAAACTCAAAAAAGCCTATTAAAAAGGTACCAGGGGCATCTCATGCGGCCCCCCTACTGACCCCGTGCCCGAGTTTCCAAATGGTCCAAATGTAATCCTAGAAGGGTGTGTGATTGCTAGGCTGCTCCTCAACCCTAGTTAATGCATCAGATTGTATGTAAGATTTGTATCTGCCTGTGTGTGGTCGGCTGGCTGGATTGGAGTGGAGTCTCCCTCCAGTGGTGGCCAAGAGGTAGTGCGGGCTGTAAAAGTGTATCACGGCCGGTCTTATATACTTTATATATTAGAAGTTAGGTCCCACTTATTCCCTCCTACCCCAAGTCACGCGTGCACCTCAGTTAGCTAGTTGCTGTGGGCGTGTGCGTGTGGGTGAACCGTGACAGGGGGTGATGAAGATTTTTTTTTAATTTTTAACACTGATTGCTTTTACACCCATAAGGCTAGGTTCACATCTGTGTGGGTGGTGCTGCTGCGGATCCACGCGAAAATCCATGCAGCCACACCACCTGCACAGAAAAATGCGGACCCACAGACGGGTGCCATTAGTTCTAATGGCACATCGCCCGCAATGGAAACCGAGTTTCCCGTTCGGGCTGTGGTTTCCAAAGAAGTGCAGGGACTTTTTCACTGCATGTCACAGGGCACGGGAGTTCATTCAAATGAATGGGCTCTCGTGCCCACGCAAAACGCGGCCCGCACGGGCCGCATATATGTGAACCAGGGGTAAAGGCTGTAAAAGCAATCATTTCTCCTTCACTCTGGCTGCATTCCTGCAGCCATTGAGAAATACTGTGTGAGCTGTGATTGGTCACAGCTTGTCACATTGCACAAGGCTGTTGTGAATAGCCGTGTACCATCTGACCTCTGTGATCATTCACAGATTTCACAAGTGACATCTTGCTTACTATTCATGTGATCACTGATTGGTCAATCAGTGATCACATGAATTGGGACCTCACACAGAGGTCCCGTACAGCAATCGGTGTTCTCTGGACACAGCGGGCACCGGATCACGATGCCGTGCTCTTCCAGGGAGCTCGCACAAGCAGTGAATGTGGAGGCCGTTTATAAACGTCCACCGCTCCTGCACTGCTCCTGTCAAACCGTTTATGTATATGGGCCAGATGGGAAGTGGTTATTCAGTACAGCAGTCCTCCCCAAAAAGTCGAGAGACCAAGACCGCGCATGCTCAGTAACGAAGGAATACATTACAATCAGGGGCGGACTGACAAATCATGGGGCCCCCAGGCAATAGGGGATCATGGGGCCCAGTGTCTTTGCCCACACTCAAACCACACCCAAAAAACCCTATGAAAGGTACCAGGGGCATCTCATGGGGCCCCCTACTGACCCCGGGCCCTCGGGCGCTGCCCGAGAGCCCGAATGGTCAGTCCACCCCTGATTACAATACAATACCATGAGCGGACTGACCATTTGGAAAGTTGGGCACTGCCCGAGGGCCCGGGGTCAGTAGGGGGCCCCATGAGATGCCCCTGGTACCTTTTTCATAGGATTTTTTGAGTTTTGGGCAAGGACACAGGGGCCCCATGATCCCCTATTGCCCGGGGGCCCCATGAGTTGTCAGCCCGCCCCTGTACAATACAATACATTACATCACTTCCAAAGTTGTGTTCTGTTATATGAACGTTTATGTAACTAGTAACCTCTTCATTTTCAATATGAGACTAGCAAGCAAAAAAAAAAATGGATGACCATTCGTCCGATATTCTCAGCGTATGTACGGAGTATTAGCTGTGGGCTCCAGCCATGCATCTCAAAGTGACACATACGAACTTAGGAGCCACAATATGCACAGCATGGAAAATCCAAATCACTATACATAGCAAGTAATGAATGGCGTTGTTAAATAAGCGATCCTTCTTTTGTGCAGCATTTGTATGACTGTAGACTATGTTTCAATTGAGAGTTAGCCCTGCTTCACGCTGAATGCAGCTTTTGAAATCGCACTACTTCACTTGAAATTGTGTGATTTTAAAGCTGCAGATCCGTGCGATTTGTATTTAACTGTGGCTTGCAACTTCTATCAACAGAAGTCAACGCAAATCACAAAGGAAATCTGAAAAAAGTAGTGCAGGAACTATTGTTGAAATTGCACTACTTCAAATCGCACTGATTAAGACAGTGCCATAGAAATACATTAGATGCGACATTGTAAATCTCATGTCGCACCTGAAGTTGCACCGATGTGAACCAGGGCTAAAACTATAACTACTGTTAAGTTATACTTTGTTACCCATCAATACAAAGCTCACCAAAATACTACGACTTTGTACTGCTATTTGTATTATCGCCATCGCTTTGTGTATTTCACAGCCCAGATGTCATCAGATGTGTTATCCAGAAGATTTACCCCCCCCCCCCCCCACTTCCTGACCAAGCCATTTTTTTTTCCTTGATACCAAGGATGGGGCACTATTCCTCCCACTGATACCAATGATGGGGCACTATTCCTCCCACTGATACCAATGATGGGGCACTATTCCTCCCACTGATACCAATGATGGGGCACTATTCTTCCCACTGATACCAATGATGGGGCACTATTCCTCCCACTGATACCAATGATGGGGCACTATTCCTCCCACTGACACTAATGATGGGGCACTATTCCTCCCACTGATACCAATGATGGGGCACTATTCCTCCCACTGATATCAATGAAGGGGCACTATTCCTCCCACTGATACCAATGATGGGACACTATTCCTCCCACTGATATCAATGAAGGGGCACTATTCCTCCCACTGACACTAATGATGGGGCACTATTCCTCCCACTGACACTAATGATGGGGCACTATTCCTCCCACTGATACCAATGATGGAACACTATTCCTCCCACTAATACCAATGATGGAACACTATTCCTCCCACTGATACCAATGCCGGGGCACTATTCCTCCCACTAATACCAATGACGGGGTACTATTCCTCCCACTGATACCAATGATGGGGCACTATTCCTCCCACTAATACCAATGATGGGGCACTATTCCTCCCACTGATACCAATGATGGGGCACTATTCCTCCCACTGATACCAATGATGGGGCACTATTCCTCCCACTGATACCAATGATGGGACACTATTCCTCCCACTGATACCAATGACGGGGTACTATTCCTCCCACTGATACCAATGATGGGGCACTATTCCTTCCACTGATACCAATGATGGGGCACTATTCCTCCACTGATACCAATGATGGGGCACTATTCCTCCCACTGATACCAATGATGGGGCACTATTCCTTCCATTGATACCAGTGATGGGGCACTATTCTTCCCACTGATACCAATGATGGGACACTATTCCTCCCACTGATACAATGACGGGGCACTATTCCTCCCACTGATACCAATGACGGGGTACTATTCCTCCCACTGATACCAATGATGGGGCATTATTCCTCCCACTGACACCAATGATGGGGCACTATTCCTCCCACTAATACCAATGATGGGACACTATTCCTCCCACTGATACCAATGATGGGGCACTATTCCTCCCACTAATACCAATGATGGGGCACTATTCCTCCCACTGATACCAATGATGGGGCACTATTCCTTCCACTGATACCAATGATGGGGCACTATTCCTCCCACTGATACCAATGATGGGACACTATTCCTCCCACTGATATCAATGAAGGGGCACTATTCCTCCCACTGACACTAATGATGGGGCACTATTCCTCCCACTGATACCACTAATGATGGGGGCACTATTCCTCCCACTGATACCAATGATGGAACACTATTCCTCCCACTAATACCAATGATGGGACACTATTCCTCCCACTGATACCAATGATGGGGCACTATTCCTCCCACTGATACCAATGCCGGGGCACTATTCCTCCCACTGATACCAATGATGGGGCACTATTCCTCCCACTGATACCAATGATGGGGCACTATTCCTCCCACTAATACCAATGATGGGGCACTATTCCTCCCACTGATACCAATGATGGGGCATTATTCCTCCCACTGATGCCAATGATGGGGCACTATTCCTGCCACTGATACCAATGATGGGACACTATTCCTCCCACTGATACCAATGACGGGGCACTATTCCTCCCACTGATACCAATGATGGGGCACTATTCCTTCCACTGATACCAATGATGGGGCACTATTCCTCCACTGACGCCAATGATGGGGCACTATTCCTCCCACTGATACCAATGATGGGGCACTATTCCTTCCATTGATACCAATGATGGGGCACTATTCTTCCCACTGATACCAATGATGGGACACTATTCCTCCCACTGATACCAATGACGGGGCACTATTCCTCCCACTGATACCAATGACGGGGTACTATTCCTCCCACTGATACCAATGATGGGGCATTATTCCTCCCACTGACACCAATGATGGGGCACTATTCCTCCCACTAATACCAATGATGGGACACTATTCCTCCCACTGATACCAATGATGGGGCACTATTCCTCCCACTAATACCAATGATGTGGCACTATTCCTCCCACTGATACCAATGATGGGGCACTATTCCTTCCATTGATACCAATGATGGGGCACTATTCTTCCCACTGATACCAATGATGGGACACTATTCCTCCCACTGATACCAATGACGGGGTACTATTCCTCCCACTGATACCAATGATGGGGCACTATTCCTTCCACTGATACCAATGATGGGGCACTATTCCTCCACTGACGCCAATGATGGGGCACTATTCCTCCCACTGATACCAATGATGGGGCACTATTCCTTCCATTGATACCAATGATGGGGCACTATTCTTCCCACTGATACCAATGATGGGACACTATTCCTCCCACTGATACCAATGATGGGGCACTATTCCTCCCACTGATACCAATGACGGGGTACTATTCCTCCCACTGATACCAATGATGGGGCATTATTCCTCCCACTGACACCAATGATGGGGCACTATTCCTCCCACTAATACCAATGATGGGACACTATTCCTCCCACTGATACCAATGATGGGGCACTATTCCTCCCACTAATATACCAATGATGTGGCACTATTCCTCCCACTGATACCAATGATGGGGCACTATTCCTTCCATTGATACCAATGATGGGGCACTATTCTTCCCACTGATACCAATGATGGGACACTATTCCTCCCACTGATACCAATGACGGGGCACTATTCCTCCCACTGATACCAATGACGGGGTACTATTCCTCCCACTGATACCAATGATGGGGCATTATTTCTCCCACTGACACCAATGATGGGGCACTATTCCTCCCACTAATACCAATGATGGGACACTATTCCTCCCACTGATACCAATGATGGGGCACTATTCCTCCCACTAATACCAATGATGGGGCACTATTCCTCCCACTGATACCAATGATGGGGCACTATTCCTTCCATTGATACCAATGATGGGGCACTATTCTTCCCACTGATACCAATGATGGGACACTATTCCTCCCACTGATGCCAATGATGGGGCACTATTCCTCCCACTGATACCAATGATGGGACACTATTCCTCCCACTAATACCAATGATGGGACACTATTTCTCCCACTGACACCAATGATGGGGCACTATTCCTCCTCCTACTAATACCAATGATGGTGCACTCTTCCTCCTCCTACTAATACCAATGATGGGGCACTCTTCCTTCCACTAATAACAATGATGGGGTGCTATCCCTCCCACTGACACCAAGGATGGGGCACTATTCCTCCCACTGATATCAATGATGTAATTTTTTTTTTTTTTACTCCCACTGGCCACCAAGTCTGTGGCATTATTTCCTCCCACCGATGCCAGGGTAATTTCTACTTTACCTGGCCGCAATCCGGCCCCTCTAAAGTTTGAAGGGCATTAAACTGGCCCTTTGTGTTGGAAGTTTGGAGACTCCTGCCTTAGATGAATACCAGAAAATATAAGATACATTGTATCCCAACCATGGCACCACCTGCCTGGAGTTTGCATGTTCTCCCTGTGCTTGCCTGGGTTTCCTCCAGTTATTCTGGTTTCCTCCCACACTCCAAAGACATGCTGGTAGGTTAATTGGCTCCTGTCTAAATTGTCCCTAGTATGTGAATGTGAGTTAGAGACCTTAGA